CCAATGAGATTTGAATTGAGTTGTGAGATGTTAGGTACTTTAAATATTATTTCAAAATAAGATATGTTCATAAAAATAATAATTTTGACTCACCTGTGTGTTCTAATAATAAAAAAACAACTGCTAAGGTCAAGAACAGAGTATGTTGTAAAAATGAAGCATCCCTGTCCTAAGGTGTGAGGGAAAAGGCAAAATGATGGAGAAATATTTCAATTTTTAAAAAAACATTTTCACTGAAAATTTGGGAAGTATTTTATAGTAATATTGGAGAAAAGGTTTCTGATCAAAGAAATTGTTATAGGCAAAGTCTAGAAGAAAATTATCATAAGCTACAGGTACACCTCAAACCAGAAATACATATTCTATCATCAGTAGATGTTCCTCAGACAGGAAGTCCATTATGAGTAGATGTTCCTCAGACAGGAAGTCCATCATCAGTAGATGTTCCTCAGACAGGAAGTCCATCATCAGTAGATGTTCCTTAGACAGGAAGTCAATCAATAGTAGATGTTCCTTAGAATGGAAGTTCATCATCAGTATATGTTCCTTAGAAAGGAAGTTCATCATCAGTAGATGTTCCTTAGACAGGAAGTCCATCATCAGCAGATATTCCTCAGACAGGAAGTCCATCATCAGTAGATGTTCCTTAGACAGGAAATCCATCATCAGCAGATATTCCTCATACAGGAAGTCCATCATCAGTAGATGTTCCTTAGGAAGGAAGTCCATCATCAGTAGATGTTCCCCAGACAGGAAGAATATCATAAGTAGATGTTCCTCCGACAGGAAGTCCATCATCAGTAGATGTTCCTCCGACAGGAAGTTCATCATCAGTAGATGTTCCTTAGACAGGAAGCTCATCATCAGTATATGTTCCTTAGAAAAGAAGTCAATCAATAGTAGATGTTCCTTAGAATGGAAGTTCATCATCAGTATATGTTCCTTAGAATGGAAGTTCATCATCAGTATATGTTCCTTAGACAGGAAGTCCATCATCAGTAGATATTCCTTAGAGAGGAAGTCCATCATCAGTAGATGTTCCTCAGACAGGAAGTCCCATCATCAGTAGATTTTCCTCAGACAGGAAGTCCATCATCAGTAGATGTTCCTCAGAAAGGAAGTCAATCAATAGTAGATGTTCCTTAGAATGGAAGTTCATCATCAGTATATGTTCCTTAGAATGGAAGTTCATCATCAGTATATGTTCCTTAGACAGGAAGTCCATCATCAGTAGATATTCCTTAGACAGGAAGTCTATCATCAGTAGATGTTCCTAAGACAGGAAGTCCCATCATCAGTAGATTTTCCTCAGACAGGAAGTCCATCATCAGTAGATGTTCCTCAGACAGGAAGTCCATCATCAGTAGATGTTCCTTAGACAGGAAGAATATTGTTAGTTGATGTTCCTCAGACACGAAGTCCATCATCAGTAGATGTTCCCCAGACAGGAAGTTCATCATCAGTAGATGTTCCTTAGACAGGAAGCTCATCATCAGTATATGTTCCTTAGAAAAGAAGTCAATCAATAGTAGATGTTCCTTCGAATGGAAGTTCATCATCAGTATATGTTCCTTAGAATGGAAGTTCATCATCAGTATATGTTCCTTAGACAGGAAGTCCATCATCAGTAGATATTCCTTAGAGAGGAAGTCCATCATCAGTAGATGTTCCTCAGACAGGAAGTCCCATCATCAGTAGATTTTCCTCAGACAGGAAGTCCATCATCAGTAGATGTTCCTCAGAAAGGAAGTCAATCAATAGTAGATGTTCCTTAGAATGGAAGTTCATCATCAGTATATGTTCCTTAGAATGAAAGTTCATCGTCAGTAGATGTTCCTTAGAAAAGAAGTCAATCAATAGTAGATGTTCCTTAGAATGGAAGTTCATCATCAGTATATGTTCCTTAGACAGGAAGTCCATCATCAGTAGATATTCCTTAGAGAGGAAGTCCATCATCAGTAGATGTTCCTCAGACAGGAAGTCCCATCATCAGTAGATTTTCCTCAGACAGGAAGTCCATCATCAGTAGATGTTCCTCAGAAAGGAAGTCAATCATCAGTATATGTTCCTTAGAATGGAAGTTCATCATCAGTATATGTTCCTTAGACAGGAAGTCCATCATCAGTAGATATTCCTTAGACAGGAAGTCTATCATCAGTAGATGTTCCTCAGACAGGAAGTCCCATCATCAGTAGATTTTCCTCAGACAGGAAGTCCATCATCAGTAGATGTTCCTCCGACAGGAAGTCCATCATCAGTAGATGTTCCTTAGACAGGAAGAATATTGTTAGTTGATGTTCCTCAGACACGAAGTCCATCATCAGTAGATTTTCCTCAGACAGGAAGTTCATCTTCAGTATTTGTGCTTCATACAGGAATCCTGTGTTATTAAAATCAGATTCAAGTCAAATATTTTGACATAAACAGGAATTTCACTATCAATTTTACCAATAAAAGGGGTTGACTGTCACTCACAAGAAGTCCACAAGCATTGAATATACTCAAACAGAAAGTCCATATGGGTGATGCATTCGTACAGGAAGGTAGTCCATCCTAACATTTATAATCAGACAGTAAGTCAACCATTGATATTTATACGCAGACAGGAAATGCACCTTCAATAAATTTACTAAGACAAGAAGGTAGTCCATCAATGACTATACTCAAACAGTAAGGAAGAATTTCACCAAGATAGCTGTACTTAGACAGGAATTCAATCATCAGTAAATGTATTTACACTTTAAGACCATTTTCAACAGATGTCCTCTCACAGTAGATCCAATTTCAATAGATGTCCTCACATAGAATGTCCACTATCAATAGATGTCCTCTCACAGTAGATCCAATTTCAATAGATGTCCTCACAAAGAAAGTCAACTGTCAATAGATGTCCTCACATAGAAAGTCCACTATCAATAGATGTCCTCACACAGAAAGTCCACTATCAATAGATGTCCTCACACAGAAAGTCCACTATCAATAGATGTCCTCACAAAGAAAGTCAACTGTCAGTAGATGTCCTCACACAGAAAGTCCACTATCAATAGATGTCCTCACACAGAAAGTCCACTATCAATAGATGTCCTCACACAGAAAGTCCACTATCAATAGATGTCCTCACACAGAAAGTCCACTATCAATAGATGTCCTCACACAGAAAGTCCACTATCAATAGATGTCCTCACAAAGAAAGTCAACTGTCAGTAGATGTCCTCACACAGAAAGTCCACTATCAATAGATGTCCTCACACAGAAAGTCCACTGTCAATAGATGTCCTCACACAGAAAGTCCACTATCAATAGATGTCCTCACACAGGAAGTCCACTATCAATAGATGTCCTCACACAGAAAGTCAACTGTCAATAGATGTCCTCGCACAGAAAGTCCACTATCAATAGATGTCCTCACACAGAAAGTCCACTATCAATAGATGTCCTCACACAGAAAGTCCACTATCAATAGATGTCCTCACACAGAAAGTCCACTGTCAGTAGATGTCCTCACACAGAAAGTCCACTGTCAGTAGATGTCCTCACAAAGAAAGTCCACTATCAATAGATGTCCTCACACAGAAAGTCAACTGTCAATAGATGTCCTCGCACAGAAAGTCCACTGTCAATAGATGTCCTCACACAGAAAGTCCACTGTCAATAGATGTCCTCACATAGAAAGTCCACTGTCAATAGATGTCCTCACATAGAAAGTCCACTGTCAGTAGATGTCCTCACAAAGAAAGTCCACTGTCAGTAGATGTCCTCACACAGAAAGTCCACTGTCAGTAGATGTCCTCACAAAGAAAGTCCACTATCAATAGATGTCCTCACATAGAAAGTCCACTATCAATAGATGTCCTCACACAGAAAGTCCACTGTCAATAGATGTCCTCACACAGAAAGTCCACTGTCAATAGATGTCCTCACATAGAAAGTCCACTGTCAATAGATGTCCTCACAAAGAAAGTCCACTGTCAATAGATGTCCTCACATAGAAAGTCCACTGTCAATAGATGTCCTCACATAGAAAGTCCACTGTCAATAGATGTCCTCACATAGAAAGTCCACTGTCAATAGATGTCCTCACACAGAAAGTCCACTGTCAGTAGATGTCGTCACACAGAAAGTCCACTGTCAGTAGATGTCCTCACACAGAAAGTCCACCGTCAATAGATGTTCTCACATAGAAAGTCCACTGTCAATAGATGTCCTCACACAGAAAGACCACTATCAATAGATGTCCTCACACAGAAAGACCACTATCAATAGATGTCCTCACACAGGAAGTCCAATGTCAATATATAGATGTCCTCACACAGGAAGTCCAATGTCAATATATAGATGTCCTCACACAGAAAGTCCAATGTCAATATATAGATGTCCTCACACAGGAAGTCCACTATCAATAGATGTCCTCACACAGGAAGTCCACTATCAATAGATGTCCTCACACAGGAAGTCCAATGTCGGTAAAATGTCTTCAGACAATCAAACATAAAATCAGCTTCCTGATTGACTTTACCTGTATCTGCCATTGTTAGTTGTAATGTCAAAAATTTCACTGTGTAGAGAATGATATAAAAAATTATTACAGAGTTTTAATTTACTTCCTTGTCAAAGGTAAATGAATAAGATTAATGGCATAAATATTTCATGAAATGGAATCCTTTGTTGTATCACTTTTACATTTCTACCAACTACTAGCACTGACACTATATATATGTCAGTTATCATCTCATAAATGCCAAGGTGAGCTTTGGAAATTTGTACAATGTATTCCAATTTAAAGTGAGAGACAAACGAACAAAAATGAAAAGTGGTATATCATAAGATATAAGTAAATATCAGTTGTCACAAGCTTCATTGTAAATTAGCCTATGATTTATGCCAACTGAAAGCAGTACAATTCTAAAATGTACGTTGAATCAAAGTTATTAGTGGCTGATGAGAAGTCAAAATGAACAACATAATGCTTATATTTTGATAGTATTTTTTTTTATTTTCAGATGATCAAAGTACTGATGAGTCCATGTCTGATTTAGATGAACAAGAAAATGTTGAAGGTGTAAACTTACCAGTGATTCTCTCCAGTCCCGTGTCTGTAAGTTAGAAATACTTAGACCTGTGTTGTTTATGAGGATCTAACCTATACTCTATTGACCTTGAGGGTTGGGATGACCTGCAGCCAGCATGTATTTAGATAGAATAGGTTAGCATGTTTTTAGATAGAATAGGTTAGCATGTATTTAGATAGAATAGGTTAGCATGTATTTAGATAGAATAGGATAGCATGTATTTAGATAGAATAGGATAGTATGTATTTAGAAAGAAAAGGATAGCATGTATTTAGATAGAATAGGTTAGCATGTATTCATATGGCTCATTCAATCTTTGTAAGTGAGTTTTGAAATGTTTTAGTATCCAGCTGTGTGTTAGGTATCTCATATCCAGTGTCTCCCAGCTGTATGTTAGTTATCTAGTATCCAGTGTCTCCCTGCTGTATGTTAGTTATCTAGTATCCAGTGTCTCCCAGCTGTGTGTTAGTTATCTAGTATCCAGTGTCTCCCAGCTGTATGTTAGTTATCTAGTATCCAGTGTCTCCCAGCTGTGTGTTAGTTATCTAGTATCCAGTGTCTCCCAGCTGTGTGTTAGTTATCTAGTATCCAGTGTCTCTCAGCTGTATTTTAGTTATCTAGTATCCAGTGTCTCCCAGCTGTATGTTAGTTATCTAGTATCCAGTGTCTCCCAGCTGTATGTTAGTTATCTAGTATCCAATGTCTCCCAGCTGTGTGTTAGTTATCTAGTATCCAGTGTCTCCCAGCTGTGTTTTAGTTATCTAGTATACAGTGTCTCCCAGCTGTGTGTCAGTTATCTAGTATCCAGTGTCTCCGAGTTGTATATTAGTTATCTAGTATCCAGTGTCTCCCAGCTGTATGTCAGTTATCTAGTATCCAGTGTCTCCCAGCTGTATGTCAGTTATCTAGTATCCAGTGTCTCCCAGCTGTATGTTAGTTATCTAGTATCCAGTGTCTCCTAGCTGTGTGTTAGTTATCTAGTATCCTGTCTCTCCCAGCTGTGTTTTAGTTATCTAGTATCCAGTGTCTCCTAGCTGTGTGTTAGTTATCTAGTATCCAGTGTCTCCCAGCTATGTTTTAGTTATCTAGTATCCAGTGTCTCCCAGCTGTATGTTAGTTATCTAGTATCCAGTGTCTCCCAGCTGTATGTTAGTTATCTAGTATCCAGTGTCTCCTAGCTGTGTGTTAGTTATCTAGTATCCAGTGTCTCCCAGCTGTATGTTAGTTATCTAGTATCCAGTGTCTCCCAGCTGTATGTTAGTTATCTAGTATCTAGTGTCTACCAGCTGTATGTCAGTTATCTAATAACCAGTGTCTCCCAGCTGTATGTCAGTTATCTAGTATCCAGTGTCTTCCAGCTGTGTGTTAGTTATCTAGTATCCAGTGTCTCCCAGCTGTATGTTAGTTATCTAGTATCTAGTGTCTACCAGCTGTATGTCAGTTATCTAATAACCAGTGTCTCCCAGCTGTGTGTTAGTTATCTAGTATCCAGTGTCTCCCAGCTGTATGTTAGTTATCTAGTATCCAGTGTGTCCCAGCTGTGTGTTAGTTATCTAGTATCCAGTGTCTTCCAGCTGTGTGTTAGTTATCTAGTGTCCAGTGTCTCCCAGCTGTATGTTAGTTATCTAGTATCCAGAGTCTCCCAGCTATATGTTAGTTATCTAGTGTTCAGTGTCTCCCAGCTGTATGTTAGTTATCTAGTATCCAGTGTCTACCAGCTGTATGTTAGTTATCTAGTATCCAGTGTCTCCCAGCTGTATGTCAGTTATCTAGTATCCAGTGTCTCCCAGCTGTATGTTAGTTATCTAGTATCCAGTGTCTCCCAGCTGTATGTTAGTTATCTAGTATCCAGTGTCTCCCAGCTGTGTTTTAGTTATCTAGTATCCAGTGTCTCCCAGCTGTATGTTAGTTATCTAGTATCCAGGGTCTCCCAGCTGTATGTCAGTTATCTAGTATCCAGTGTCTCCCAGCTGTATGTTAGTTATCTAGTATCCAGTGTCTCCTAGCTGTGTGTTAGTTATCTAGTATCCAGTGTCTCCCAGCTGTGTTTTAGTTATCTAGTATCCAGTGTCTCCCAGCTGTATGTTAGTTATCTAGTATCCAGTGTCTCCCAGCTGTGTTTTAGTTATCTAGTATCCAGTGTCTCCCAGCTGTATGTTAGTTATCTAGTATCCAGTGTCTCCCAGCTGTATGTTAGTTATCTAGTATCCAGTGTCTCCCAGCTGTGTGTTAGTTATCTAGTATCCAGTGTCTCCTAGCTGTGTGTTAGTTATCTAGTATCCAGTGTCTCCCAGCTGTGTTTTAGTTATCTAGTATCCAGTGTCTCCCAGCTGTATGTTAGTTATCTAGTATCCAGTGTCTCCCAGCTGTATGTCAGTGTGTCCCAGCTGTGTGTTAGTTATCTAGTATCCAGTGTCTTCCAGCTGTGTGTTAGTTATCTAGTATCCAGTGTCTTCCAGCTGTATGTTAGTTATCTAGTATCCAGTGTGTCCCAGCTGTGTGTTAGTTATCTAGTATCCAGTGTCTTCCAGCTGTGTGTTAGTTATCTAGTATCCAGTGTCTTCCAGCTGTGTGTTAGTTATCTAGTTATTGTTAAATCACTTCTACATGCTTACACATTAAATCATTTAACAGTAGTAAAAAGTACTAGGCTGAAATGCTTTACCTACTAAGAGTCATTGTTGTGCTTCCTGTTGAAGGTTGTTATTCTGAAAACAAGTGACTTGTGATATGCAGTGCCAGTAGAAATTTTCTTACTGGAAAGTGAAGATACTCCGTCTTCTTTCTGCTTTTACTTTGAATCAAACAAATAATTCACACGTTAAGGAGAAAGTCGTATTTATACCAGCATAATTTTAAATCTTTCAGAGGCCAATATCCATTGTATCTGATGACGAAATACTGCATGTATGTATTGCTATTGAAGAACTGACAAAGTAATAATAGAAACCTCTGTATTAATACCTCAAGTCAGAAATGCTTTCTTATATATCCAACAATATGAGCATGTGTTGTAGTAAGTGTCCTTTCCTACCATCAGATAGTCTTATGTGTCGTTTAATCATGATTATTAGTGTTGTGATACCATAATACGCCATCAAATTTACAACTTTTTCCTCTGTCATTTGAATGTTTGTTGTTCCTGATTCTATTTTGATATTCGTGATCAATTATTTCTTATATTTTTATAATATTCTTATTGAAGAGCTTTTTGCGCTTATAAGAGCATATTGCACCAAAATATGATTAGGCAATTTGCACTTTCTGTATGTTGTTAATATAGAAATAATTGTGAATAGTTGAATTCATCATGGCCAATAGTAGTTCAGAATTGATGCAAGGCAAAAATTTTTTGACACAAAAATAAGTATACGTGTATACGATTTTAGCAACGAAAAAGTGAGAAAAAGAAGATATTGTTAGATTAATTAAAGACTCCTTAATTTGTTGGACAAATTTAAGATTTCATGATTCCTTAGACAAATTGAAGACTCCATGATTTGTTAGACAAATTGAAGACTCCATGATTTGTTAGACAAATTGAAGACTCCATGATTTGTTAGACAAATTGAAGACTCCATGATTTGTTAGACAAATTGAAGACTCCATGATTTGTTAGACAAATTGAAGACTCCATGATTTGTTAGACAAATTGAATACTCCATGATTTGTTAGACAAATTGAAGACTCCATGATTTGTTAGACAAATTGAAGACTCCATGATTTGTTAGACAAATTGAAGACTCCATGATTTGTTAGACAAATTGAAGACTCCATGATTTGTTAGACAAATTGAAGACTCCATGATTTGTTAGACAAATTGAAGACTCCATGATTTGTTAGACAAATTGAAGACTCCATGATTTGTTAGACAAATTGAAGACTCCATGATTCCTTAGACAAATTGAATACTCCATGATTTGTTAGACAAATTGAAGACTCCATGATTTGTTAGACAAATTGAAGACTCCATGATTTGTTAGACAAATTGAAGACTCCATGATTTGTTAGACAAATTGAAGACTCCATGATTTGTTAGACAAATTGAAGACTCCATGATTTGTTAGACAAATTGAAGACTCCATGATTTGTTAGACAAATTGAAGACTCCATGATTTGTTAGACAAATTGAAGACTCCATGATTTGTTAGACAAATTGAATACTCCATGATTTGTTAGACAAATTGAATACTCCATAATTTGATAGACTGTTTGTAGATTCCATATTTTGTAAGATTAACTTACAAACTAGTCTCCTTAATTTGTTAGACTTATTATTGACTCCATCACATTGTATTGTCTAATTGATGTCTTTATAGTATTATATCATTTACAATTTAATCTTCCTATATTATATATACCTAACTGAACATTGCCATGTTCAATATATGTACATTCAATATGTCAGAGTACTGCATTGCTAGAACAAACCATTTGATGAAACTAAAATACATGAAATCACATCTACATCCCTCTGTCATGAATTTACAATTCTAGTAAACTTTCCAAATTATAAATCCTTGAAAAAAGAATTGAATTCTGCTATATAATGAGTATTTCTTTACTTGAAAGAAAACATTCAAATCTCCTTATTTTGGACAGTTAGACTTTGATTTGCAATGTATTGCCTTTATTGCAAAGGCTCTAGATGTATATAAATGTACTTTTCAGAAGTTTTTACAGTGTTCACACGGAAAGTCACAAATGTTGACAAATAAGTGACAATTTGGATTTTTTAAAAAGTTGTCAGAAAAGAACATTTCAAAATTTATTCCATTGTAAGAAAAGTTTTTATAATATATATTAATCTGACAAGAAAAATCTCCAGTTGGAGAATTTCTGAAGAATCAACATCCAGTTAAGTCCATACATGTGTTGAGGTTCATCTTTTAGGCTCTTGTGATATACAGAGGTCTCTTAAAAAGTAGGAATCAAAAAAGAGCCCCAAACCTGAAACCAGGTAGACCAATAGTAGAATATATATTGGCCTACCTGGCTTCAGGAGTCGGTGATCTACATAGATTAGTCATACACACCATTTATTCTTCTTACACCATATACATGTATATCATTCCTGGCCTTACAGGTAGAAAGCTAGTTCTGGTCTGGTGTAGGATGGCTTGATGTCAGTCATACTGTAGCATTTCACTTAGCAAAATGTAGTGATTTGATTGGTGAAAAATGAACAAAAATGTATTCAGAGTTCTTGGCAAATAATCAGTTGTGTCACTTGTCACTTGATTTAACGGTCTTTATATGATATTTTATCGTGCCATCATGTTGTACTGTGATGTCTCCATCGATGCCAATGGAAGCATATATACATACATTGTATACTTGGGTTGTTTTTGGAAACTAACCATGTCAAACAACTTGGAACTTAATTTTATTCCAATAAGTAATCATGCATGAAATGAATGATTCATAAAAGGAAAGTGAAGAAAGCTTTACTTTTTGTAAATGTAAAAATAAATCATTAATTTTGCTTTCAAAAATATATATTTGTCAATTTTAATATCTTTAAGTTCAAATTTTGTCATAAAAAACTCAAAATGTTTATACCCATCACAATATTAATTCCGACATCCCAGTTTTAAAGATGCATACTATATGATACTTTATCCATATTCTGTCTTGTGTCCATTCTTCTGGTTTCTTTTTAACAACGATTTGAAGTTGTGCAGTTTCTACTCTTGGTACAATACCTGACTTTGATGAACCACATGAATTGAAAGCTCAGAATGATTTACATATATTTTTCTCTTTCATAGCTGTTATCCTTTTGTCAATTTTTGACTGATGAATTCTTGGTTATCAAAAATATAAAAAATTAAATAAGCTGAGGAAGGAATGCTTTGACTGTTGTTCTACATGGAAAAGACTAACAATGATATTATAGTGCTTTAATGTGTAAAGCATGGAATGTTATCATGCTGCTATCAATATTCCTTAATATTCTGTCCTATTAACATATTACATTAACTTATAGTAAATGACCTTTGTAGTGTCATTATGTTGGATGTTTTAAAATTGCTTTGTACTGAAGGACATGTCACAATCTAATGTGAGGATGCAGTGTCCATCAACCATACTGAATATACATTATATGTATTTCTTTTGAGTACAATATGACTGTCATTGATTTTTATAGAATTTTAGGGTAATTTTTATCTCTCATATTTTGAGAATCATTATTATAACAGTGTCGTACAGCAGACAAATTAAAGAAACCACATCATATTACAGGTATTATTGAGTGGAAATAATTATTTAATAAATAAGAGTAAAAAATCAACATTTCCTTGTTCCAATGAAAATTTCAAACCATTGATAATGAAAAGTTAGACTGAAGTTTAAATCAAATCTTTGTTCCAGCAAAACAAAGGTGAACGGGCAGGTTACCTGTACAAGCAGGGAGGGTGAGTTACATACTTATTTTTCAGCTAGTTCATTACATCTTTGTTATCTTCCTAAAGTCAGTGTAATTACATTTTTAAGATGTATCAACTATATAAGAGATATTCAATACAGGAAGTGTTAAGGCCTTTTATCATTATCATCTTGATTACATCAGTATCATTATATTCGTTAAACAGGGTGGTATTTAATTTCGGATCAAATAACTTTTTCCTGCGAACAGTTTACCATTCCACAATATGAACATTTAATCAGGAAGACAGTTCTGTTCCCTATGTCAGATGTTAGACAGTTCTGTTCCCTGTGTCAGATGTTAGACAGTTCTGTTCCCTGTGTCAGTGGTTAGACAGTTCTGTTCCCTGTGTCAGATGTTAGACAGTTCTGTTCCCTGTTTCAGTGGTTAGACAGTTCTGTTCCTTGTGTCAGTGGTTAGACAGTTCTGTTCCCTGTGTCAGTGGTTAGACAGTTCTGTTCCCTGTGTCAGTGGTTAGACAGTTCTGTTCCTTGTGTCAGTGGTTAGACAGTTCTGTTCCCTGTGTCAGTGGTTAGACAGTTCTCTTCCCTGTGTCAGTGGTTAGACAGTTCTCTTCCCTATGTCAGAGGTTAGACAGTTCTGTTCCTTGTGTCAGTGGTTAGACAGTTCTGTTCCCTGTGTCAGTGGTTAGACAGTTCTGTTCCCTGTGTCAGGTGTTAGACAGTTCTATTCCCTGTGTCAGTGGTTAGACAGTTCTGTTCCCTGTGTCAGTGGTTAGACAGTTCTGTTCCCTGTGTCAGTGGTTAGACAGTTCTGTTCCCTGTGTCAGTGGTTAGACAGTTCTGTTCCCTGTGTCAGTGGTTAGACAGTTCTGTTCCCTGTGTCAGTGGTTAGACAGTTCTCTTCACTGTGTCAGTGGTTAGACAGTTCTGTTCCCTGTGTCAGTGGTTAGACAGTTCTGTTCCCTGTGTCAGTGGTTAGACAGTTCTGTTCCCTGTATCAGTGGTTAGACAGTTCTGTTCCCTGTGTCAGTGGTTAGACAGTTCTGTTCCCTGTGTCAGTGGTTAGACAGTTCTGTTCCCTGTGTCAGAGGTTAGACAGTTCTGTTCCCTGTGTCAGTGGTTAGACTGTTCTGTTCCCTGTGTCAGTGGTTAGACAATTCTCTTCACTGTTTCAGTGGTTAGACAGTTCTCTTCACTGTGTCAGTGGTTAGACAGTTCTGTTCCCTGTGTCAGTGGTTAGACAGTTCTCTTCACTGTTTCAGTGGTTAGACAGTTCTGTTCCCTATGTCAGATGTTAGACAGTTCTCTTCCCTGTGTCAGTGGTTAGACAGTTCTATTCCCTGTGTCAGTGGTTAGACAGTTCTCTTCCCTGTGTCACAGGGTAGAGGGAAAGTTCTCTTCCCTGTGTCGTTGTTTTCTGAAAAAAAATCCTGTTGTACAACTGGACAAGGGAAAGTACAGTTTACAGTCATAGAATTTGATTTAAAACAAACTGGAAAGGAGTTGTAAGGAATAAGTTCAAGATAAACATGAAAGTTTCATGAATATAATCTTCTGACAAAGATAAATAAAACCTTCTGACAAAGATAAATAAAATCTGCTGACAAGGTTATCTTTTATAATAGGTTTTATACAGCCTATACAGTGTTACAGGTGAAGATCTGGATTTGTTTTGAATCTATTGAGCTACTTCCAGACATGTAATCTAAACTGAATGTCTCTTCTTTGTAAAATGGGGACGTACCAGCTAGGCATTTTAAGATTATATTTGTGGTAGATGAATCCCACCTGGCTGGGTTGAATAACATACCATAAAGAGGTGGAGGCCACATATCAGATATAGGTGTCACGTGATGTAAGTTATATAACCAACATTTCTCATTTAGGTAAAATAATGGTAAATCTGTATCAAAATTGCTTGAACTTTGAAGTGTAATTGGAAACTTGTCATATGACTCTTTCCATGTTTTGTCAGTCATAAAATAAAATGGGGTATTGTAGTTATCATCAAGCTGTCACATGTTGTCTTAATTGTGTCCTACTGAAAACCTTGATATCTTATATAGACCAGGAAGAGGAAGTTTAAGTCTCACAAACTGACTTCTCCAATCTAACTAGGACACTGGAAAACCATGTTAAAACCATAATTACATGTTTGAAATAATATATGGTATTTATCTGGTCATGGTTTTGGGCCAGTACCATGCTGGGATAAAAGGCTACCAAGTTTGTTTAAATAAATGACCTGGTCAAATGTTTTAAAATCTTTAAACAACTTCTTCTCAATAACCGAATGGTCCAGGATCATGATATTGGGCAAGAAGCATGCTTGGATGAAGATCTGCCAAGTTTGTTCAAATAAATGATCTTTAACTATTTTCAAGGTCACAGGGGTCAAATGTGTTAAAATCTTAATGACTTCTTCTCAATAACAAAGTGGCCCAGAGTCATGACATTGAGGCAGTTGCATGCTAGAATGAAGGGCTACCATTTGTTCAAACTTAGAAACAATAAAAACTATGCAAATATTGGTTTTGTTCTGTCTGCCCCATTGTTGGGACTGATGAACAGGTTGTAAAACTGTCCAAAGACCTGAAAACCTCAGATGACTTTTAAGGCCCATAGACCTCTTGTTATATTTGTGTATAAATTTGACACATGATCTTTAATTCTTTGGCTAGCTGATATACTGTGGCCTGTCATTGACTTGTCTTTTCCTCAAAACAATATTTTGCAACAGAATGTCAATCCTGGATAGATAATTACTGCTACAGGCGACAGAATTGATTAACCTTACAGACTCTGTGATGTAGTATTACTGATTGATCTTTGACAACAAATTGTTTTAATCAACAGACAAAAAGGCAACAAAGGTTGGAGAAAAAGATGGGTGGTATTCAATGGAAAGTCTGTACGCTACTATCCAAATGCAAAGGTAGGAATTCTTTGAATATACCTGTGTAAAAAAAACCCCAGTTTACTTTGTCTATTCCCATTCCAATAAAAGCTACAAGGCTTGAAAATCTGTTGTTCAAAAAAATCATTTTCAATAAGTATTCAAATGTGATTGCTTCGGTCATGGAAAGTAATTGTGAACTGAAACCATTGTAAACAGATAATTACTTCTTTGTTTTAACATAATAGATTTTTTGTAGTGTTAATGATATACAGCATTTTGTTGTGGACATCAGCTGTCTGTGAGTGGAGAATTGAATTTCCACGTTAAATTCTTCATGATGAAAATGAGAGGAAAAGTTAATGTTTATTAGGAAACTTCAATTACAATAAATACAGTAGTATGTATGTTTATTTTGAGTTTCATACTGAAAAATCATGTATTTTTGTTGTGTTTAAATTTGGTGGTTATATAAAAAAAAATTGTGATTTATTGTGATTTTGATGATCAATCTTTCTCATGAAATTATTGACATATAGAATGTAGCATATTAGTTTTAATCGGTTAATCATGTCATGGACAAATTAATTTATAGATTAATAGTACCTTTGAAATCAACCAAAAAATCCCCAAGGTCACCCTTAATATATACCGTATTTTTCCGAATAATAAGCTGTACCTTTTTTCCCTTGCAATTTGTTTTATATACTGGTGCGGTTTGTATATGGACAAAAAAAAAAAAAAAATTTACAGGATGAAAAAAAAAGAAAGAAGTGTACCAGCTACACCAGTATGGGAAGGTACCAGGCTTTTTTTAAAGAAGTACCTGCCCATCATGTGTTTGTAACTGAAGCAGATTGTCTAGAACTGTCACTTGCAATCGTATACAGGATGATTTGAAGATTGAAATAAATACAGCATCATTTTGAATTTAATCAATTGCACATTTTAATATGAATCACAATAACATCTTCTGGACTGTTGTTGTTACTTGGAAGCTATAGCGGAAAGTTACAATAGCCTTTTGCATCATGGGATTGATAGGTCATTGGGTTACAGGATCAAATTCTAGAATGACCACCATGTTTGTTTACGATATGAATAGCTTCATGTACCTTACAAGATGAAATGATATGGGTAAGCATGCAATCGCCTTCATTGATATTTAACAGTACAGACACCGATGGAGAGGTTGTTTTGTGAGTTGTACATCACGTCAGGCCCTATATCTGTGCGTAGACAATCTGTGAAGACAACCAAGCCTAACAAGTTCGATATTTGCTATTTTACATTTTTTGAAATACATCAGTAAATAAAGGATTATCTGTGTTTAATTCATTGCTAACTTTATTAAATCTTTCACTGATGATAAATTGCCCTCCATTTTCTGTTATATCAATGAACTTTTGTCAACGTAATGGTTTCCACTTTGTAAGAAACAGTGTGGCTTATATTCTGATGTGGCTTTTATCTGGATCAAATAAAAAGAATGGTTCAAATCGATTCTGCGGCTTACATTCCAGTGCAGCTTATAACCCAGAAAATACGGTATAGAAAATCATCCACTGATTCAATCTAAACACAGCAACTTCACTCTTTCATGGAATTTGGTCAAACTTTATGCAACCATCAAGTATGAGTTTACTTAGGACATTGTTGTGTTTCATGAGTCCAAGGTCAAGGTCAATGTTGCTTTATATAGAGAAAATGTTCAATTTAAATGCTTAGTGACTTCATTCTGTAATGGATCTTGGCCAAACTTTATAAGGTCAATTGTGGGTATACTTTGGACATTGTTCTGTTTCAGGGGCCAGATTCAAGGCCAAAGTCACCCTTGCTTTTTATAGAAAATCATTAATTGATTCAATAGTGAAACTATTTTCACTTGGTAGTGGGGGCATTTATGTTTCTCAGACATTTTCTAGTTTTATCAAAGAGGTTATGAATCAATACTATCCTTTTTGCTACATTCTGTTGATGAAAGTTATAAAATATTCTTGTTCACAGACCCAAGTTTCCAAGAGAATTGTGCCTGTAACATGCATGTTGGGTGTTACAAACCAGATAAAGGTAAGGTTACAAGAGAATTGTGCCTGTTACATGTATGGTGTAAATAAATATACTGATGACTATATATGGTGTAAATGAATATACTGATGACTATATATGGTGTAAATGAATATACTGATGACTATATATGGTGTGAATGATTATGCTGATGACTATATATGATGTGAATGATTATACTGATATCTATATATGGTGTGAATGATTATGCTGATGACTATATATGGTGTGAATAATTCTACTGATATCTATATATGGTGTGAATGATTATGCTGATGACTATACATGGTGTGAATGATTATACTGATATCTATACATGGTGTGAATGATTATGCTGATGACTATATATGGTGTGAATGATTATACAGATGACTATATATGGTGTGAATGATTATACTGATATCTATACATGGTGTGAATGATTATACAGATGACTATATATGGTGTGAATGATTATACTGATGTCTATATGGTGTGAATGATTATGCTGATGACTATATATGGTGTGAATGATTATACAGATGACTATATATGGTGTGAATGATTATACTGATGTCTATATATGGTGTGAATAATTATTTTTTGACCACCACTTCAGGCTTCTGACACAACAAAGTTTAAATTCAATGTTGAGACGAAGAATCGGACATTCCAGTTTGCTGCTGAAACATTAGGTAATTTATTTCAATTGTATGATATATTTTTGAGTAGGTCTTTGGAAATTTGAACATTTTTTTAAACCCTTCTTTACTTTTCTTTAATGTGTAGCTAAAGAGATGTAGATCATTGATATATAATCATTAAATTTTGATTTCTCTGTTTAGATGATTGTACACACTGGTGTAGCTGTTTAATGGCTGCCATCTTAGCTAAGGTAAGTCTGATTGTACCTACTAAACCTTTTCAGGCATTACCTTGAAATCATCTGCATGGGATTTATTTTCATTTAATTTATGGGTACTTAAATTCCACAAATTTATATATCTATGAAGCAATGAATGGATATATGTTGACATAGATTATAGTAGATAGGTTTTGTGAGCAAGATTTATCCACAAATTTAGTGCCAACAAAAATGTTTATTTTTGGAAAACTTGGAATTTTGAACCCCCATATGAATATGAATAGAGGTTATATGTGATCTTAGTTACGTTGTAACTGAATCAAATTTGCTCTCATAAAAAATTCATCAGTTTTAATGGAAATTAATGAGTTTGATGATGATGGTTTCTTATAAACATAGTGACATATGTAAAGTCACCAGAATGACTTGCCTGGTCAGGGAAACATCAGCTGCACTGTATAACACCATTCAACTGAGGTCATTTCATAACACCATTCAACTGAGGACATTTCGTAACACCATTCAACTGAGGACATTTCGTAACACCATTCAACTGAGGACATTTCGTAACACCATTCAACTGAGGACATTTCGTAACACCATTCAACTGAGGACATTTCGTAACACCATTTAACTGAGAACATTTCATAACACCATTTAACTGAGGACATATCATAACACCATTTAACTGAGAACATTTCGTAACACCATTTAACTGAGAACATTTCATAACACCATTTAACTGAGGACATATCATAACACCATACAATTGAGGTCATTTCGTAACACCATTCAACTGAGGACATTTCGTAACACCACTCAACCACAGTTATTTGATTACACCATTCAACCATGGTATCTGAGGTCATTTCATGATCATTATTCAGGTGAAAATTGAAAAACTAACTGTTGATAAAAATGATGTTTACAGAGATGAAAGAGAACACATACAGACAAACTTTTGTGTACAATTTATTGTAGAGAGTTTATATATTCACAGTCTCCTGAGGCCTGTCATGAGGGTGGGGACATGAACCATCCGGACAAACTTTTGTGTACAATTTATTGTAGAGAGTTTATATATTCACAGTCTCCTGAGGCCTGTCATGAGGATGATGACATGAACCATCCGGACAAACTTTTGTGTACAATTTATTGTAGAGAGTTTATATATTCACAGTCTCCTGAGGCCTGTCATGAGGATGGGGACATGAACCATCCGGACAAACTTTTGTGTACAATTTATTTGATATATATTCACAGTCTCCTGAGGCCTGTCATGAGGATGGGGACATGAACCTTACAAACTTTTGTGTACGATTTATTGTAGAGAGTTTATATATTCACAGTTCCTGAGGCCATGAGGATGGGGACATGAACCATTGGACAAAGTTTTGTGTACAATTTATTGTAGAGAGTTTATATAACAGTCTCCTGAGGCCTGTCATGAGGATGATGACAAAATCTGAACAAACTTTTGTGTACAATTTATTGTAGAGAGTTTATATATTCACAGTCTCCTGAGGCCTGTCATGAGGATGGGGACATGAACCATCCCGACAAACTTTTGTGTACAATTTATTGTAGAGAGTTTATATATTCACAGTCTCCTGAGGCCTGTCATGAGGATGGGGACATGAACCATCTGGACAAAGTTTTGTGTACAATTTATTGTAGAGAGTTTATATATTCACAGTCTCCTGAGGCCTGTCATGAGGGTGGGGACATGAACCATCCGGACAAACAGGTAAGGTCATTTGAGATTTAGATTTTCATATTCACATAATCTTTATATTAATATCTTGGTAGCAGAGCCAACACTCTAGTATAAACGTAATAAGTGCTTAATCGTTCATCCAGGGAAAGACCTTTACTAAACATTGTCCTGAAGAAACCCAATACTGAATGTGAAACAGGTAGACATATTACCTTAGAAATAACAAAGAACCTGCCTCTTACCTGGTGTAATTGATTTTTCTGTTGAGATATTCTAATATATGTGATAAAAGTTTATAATCTAATTATTTCTACCATGCTAGGAAAGTGTTTGGTTCCAATTTGTTATGTGTCCGTGATTATTTGTACTTTCAGGGGTCTATTCGTTTTGAGAGATACAGACGAAACCTGCATGTTGTGTTAAAAGGAGGACAAATGTGTTACTACAACAAACTGGAGGTAAATTACACACAACCTATGTAATCCTCACAGTCACTAAATACATACCTTGTACAACAAAATAGGTTATTTTTTACCCTGTTTTTACACCATTGTTTTATGATCAAAAGCAGTTGTTTCCTCTTTAGCTCTTAAGTATATGTTTTGCAAAACTAAAGAAAAAATTAAGATATATCCTAAGGACATAGTTCTTCATTTCATACAAGCACATGCTGCTGTAAAATTCGGTCAAAAAAGCACAGGTGTTACTTGATGCTGTCAAGCCACATTGTGCTGCAACTTTTCCTCATTATAAAAAATGTAGTGTTCATTTTTTGGGTGAAAATTCTGAAATTTAGTTTTGAAAATTGGAAAGAACTAACTTGCAATACAGTTCTTCTTTGTAAACTTTGTCATTTTATCAAATAGTTTTGGACAATGAGTCATGATTCTGGAATTCTTGCTTATGAACATTTCTAAATCTAGATATGTTTGCTTTTTTTTCCCTAAGGTGACCATTTGAAGTAATTTTCAGTGTGATTTTAGTTATGAATTTCAATATTGAAAATTTTGCATTTAATTGTGGTATAGAATTTGATTTTGAACATAAGTGTCTCTGATATACCAGGTTTGTAATTTCATATATTTATAGGTTTGTAATTTTGTATATTCATAAAAGCCCTTATGGCTGAATCTTCTTTCCTGACTGAAGTTGAAATTTACCAATTATAACTTTATAGAAATTATCTTTGTATTTATTCATATTTTCAGGACTTTAAGATAGCGTCTCCAATTCACCAGATAGAAATGAAGCTTGCAAGTGTAAAGGAGATACCAAGGACCTGCAAGCTACGACTGGCGACACATTACACACAGTTTGTGTAAGTAAAAAGGACATAACTCTATCAGCGCAGTTTTGCTGTGTAGTTCTGCAGGCTAAGTGTGAAATCTGTCTGCACAGTTCTGCAGGCTAAGTGTGAAATCTGTCGTCACAGTTCTGCAGGCTAAGTGTGAAATCTGTCGGCACAGTTCTGCAGGCTAAGTGTGAAATCTGTCGGCACAGTTCTGCAGGCTAAGTGTGAAATCTGTCGGCACAGTTCTGCAGGCTAAGTGTGAAATCTGTCGGCACAGTTCTGCAGGCTAAGTGTGAAATCTGTCAGCACAGTTCTGCAGTCTAAGTGTGAAATCTGTCGGCACAGTTCTGCAGGCTAAGTGTGAAATCTGTCGGCACAGTTCTGCAGGCTAAGTGTGAAATCTGTCGGCACAGTTCTGCAGGCTAAGTATGAAATCTGTCGGCACAGTTCTACAGGCTAAGTGTGAAATCTGTCAGCACAGTTCTGCAGTCAAAGTGTGAAATCTGTCGGCACAGTTCTGCAGTCTAAGTGTGAAATCTGTCGGCACAGTTCTGCAGGCTAAGTGTGAAATCTGTCGGCACAGTTCTGCAGGCTAAGTGTGAAATCTGTCGGCACAGTTCTGCAGTCTAAGTGTGAAATCTGTCGGCACAGTTCTGCAGTCTAAGTGTGAAATCTGTCGGCACAGTTCTGCAGGCTAAGTATGAAATCTGTCTGCACAGTTCTGCAGGCTAAGTATGAAATCTGTCTGCACAGTTCTGCAGGCTAAGTGTGAAATCTGTCGGCACAGTTTATAATGATATGATGACCTGCAACATGTTCAGATTTTTTAAGTCCTGCACCAGGAACCAGGGTGTCTATGATTTTGCATTTTGTCTATCAGTCCTTCTTATATCTTCATTTTCTACTGCACAGTACTTGTCACTGGAACTTCATACTTGGGGTATGGTTTCTCATTGGAGAGGTGGTGACCTGTTAATGTACAGATTATTTTTGTTGTCATGACAACTTGATGACCTATAACATGTTAGGTATATTCCAGTTGTCATGGCAACATCTACATGCTATATTACTTCTATTTGTTCACATCTTGAGTACTCAATAACTGCATGTTACATTGTCACATTATACTTTAGGTTGACCTTTGAGAAATATGAGGAATGTGTCATGTGGAGGATGGCGATGGAGGAATCAATAGCTGATGCTCTGGGAGATAACACCGTGAGTCATCAGGATTTGGTTTTCAGTATAAAGTACTCAGTTGTTTTGGTGATATCTCAGACTAACTCTCTTGAGAAGGAATTGATCCTTATCAGTAAGGTCAAATGTTATTTTGTACTGAAGTTTCATAAATTGTTATATGTATTGATATTATGATTATACTAGTTATTGTTTCTTTCTTGTATAGAAACATGATGATTAACAACACAGTACAGTTACTCACTTAGGGAAATGCTGATGCATATTGAAAACTGTGAGTTGATGAAAACAGATGATATTGTGTACATGTTCATTTCCTTTCATTTCTTCATATTTCATTTGAAAGATTTTGGACCAGATCAGAGAGAACCCCAGCAACCGGAAATGTGCTGACTGTGATGCCCCAGGTATATATGTGTTTGGAATGTCAGTTGCTTTAGTGTGTCTCATCTGTATGTCTTACCTGAGTAACCTGTCATTAGTATGTCTCACCATACCTGTAATATATTGTCCTTGTTTGTCTCACCTGGCCTTCTTGTATGTATGTATCAATAACACATATAGAATCTTTCATCCCCAATGTAAGTAAGACCTCAGCCTGAGGGGATAGATGATAAGCTTGGCTAGTACAAAACTTACTCTGCTACCAAACTTAATCACATTGGTACAAAGCATTTCTCATGTGATTTACAGGGTTGCTGGGGATAGGAAATCTCTGTCTCAAATTCAGGAAAGAGAAACAGGTGGTTGATAGCATCATCATCCTATCTAGCATAGCCATGTTGCAAATTGATAACATTATCAATTTTGACACACTTTTCATGGAACATTGATGATGACACTTTCAATTAATTACTGTATTTATTTTAAATATGTGAGAAATATCAAACATGGAGTTTTTCAGTAGACTCAGAAATCTAAATTCGACTATAAGAGTTTGACTAAAAGCCTCGTGCTAACCTGCCAAACTCTCATGGAACAGACCCATGTGATTATTATTACTGTAAATCACTTAGATCTCTAATATGTCTCACCTGTATGTGTCACTTGTGTATACCACTAGTATGTCTCACCTGTATGGGTCACTTTTGTGTACCACTAGTTTGTCTCACCTGTATGTGACACTTGTGTGTGCCTCTAGTTCGTCTCACCTGTATGTGACACTTGTGTGTGCCACTAGTTTGTCTCACCTGTATGTATCACTTGTGTGTAACACTTGCATGTGTCACCTGTATGTGTTACTGTGTGTAACAGTAGTATGTCTTACCTGTGTGTACCACCGGTGTGTTGTACCGGTATGTCGTGCTTGTTTTGTGAATGAAATGAAAAAGTAAGTGTTCAAGTTACAAGAGAATATCTTAGATTTTATTATGTAAAAAAGGAATTCTTTAATTGAGACAGGAAATATTTTTATTATAATAAATGGCATAATAGTGTCAGTCAAATGGAATTGATGCTATTAAACTTTGAAGTCACTATGTTCTATTTTATTATAAACCTTCAGTATATTATAAGTTTCTCTATGTTAAGGAAGATATACAAATATGGAATTAGAAATTATCATTGTTACATAGTGTTATTGATATACCTTTGTTCCAGATCCTCATTGGGCCTCCATCAATATGGGTACAGTTCTGTGTAAACAATGTGCAGGTAAACAATTAAAATGCATCTCACTGTGTAAAGAAGAAACTTAATAATCAGGGCCTGTATTCACGAAACCGTTCTCATGCTCAAGGATGAATTTTGTGCTCAAGCCTCATGTCTTGTTCAAGTTAAAAATTAATAAATAAGACTGATTTTGCCAAAGATTTAAAAAGAAATGTTGAAAGAACTTCAAGTAAAAGTTATAATAAATGTTTATATTTGACATTTTTATTATTTTATATTGTTTAGGAGAATTGTAAAAAAGTTTGCTTGAGCACAAAATCTGTGCTTGAGCATGAGAATGGTTTCATGAATACGGACCAAGGAATGTAATAATCCAGATAACTTGTGTACAGTAGAACCTCAGTAATCCAGATAACTTGTGTACAGTAGAACCTCAGTGATCCAGATAACTTGTGTACAGTAGAACCTCAGTAATCCAGATAACTTGTGTACAGTAGAACCTCAGTGATCCAGATAACTTGTGTACAGTAGAACTTCAGTAATCCAGATAACTTGTGTACAGTAGAACCTCAGTGATCCAGATAACTTGTGTACAGTAGAACCTCAGTAATCCAGATAACTTGTGTACAGTAGAACTTCAGTAATCCAGATAACTTGTGTACAGTAGAACTTCAGTAATCCAGATAACTTGTGTACAGTAGAACCTCAGTAATCCAGATAACTTGTGTACAGTAGAACTTCAGTAATCCAGATAACTTGTGTACAGTAGAAATTCAGTAATCCAGATAACTTGTGTACAGTAGAACCTCAGTAATCCAGATAACTTGTGTACAGTAGAACCTCAGTAATCCAGATAACTTGTGTACAGTAGAACCTCAGTAATCCAGATAACTTGTGTACAGTAGAAACTCAGTAATCCAGATAACTTGTGTACAGTAGAACCTCAGATAACTTGTGTACAGTAGAACCTCAGTAATCCAGATAACTTGTGTACAGTAGAACCTCAGTAATCCAGATAACTTGTGTACGGTAGAACCTCAGATAGTTTGTGTACAGTAGAACCTCAGTAATCCAGATAACTTGTGTACCGTAGAACCTCAGTAATCCAGATAACTTGTGTACAGTAGAAACTCAGTAATCCAGATAACTTGTGTACAGTAGAACCTCAGTAATCCAGATAACTTGTGTACAGTAGAACCTCAGTAATCCAGATAACATGTGTACAGTAGAAACTCAGTAATCCAGATAACTTGTGTACAGTAGATCCTCAGATAACTTGTGTACAGTAGAACCTCAGATAACTTGTGTACAGTAGAACCTCAGTAATCCAGATAACTTGTGTACAGTAGAACCTCAGTAATCCAGATAACTTGTGTACAGTAGATCCTCAGTAATCCAGATAACTTGTGTACAGTAAAAACTCAGTAATCAAGATAACTTGTGTACAGTAGAAACTCAGTAATCCAGATAACTTGTGTACAGTAGAAACTCAGTAATCCAGATAACTTGTGTACAGTAGAAACTCAGTAATCCAGATAACTTGTGTACAGTAGAACCTCAGTAATCCAGATAACTTGTGTACAGTAGAAACTCAGTAATCCAGATAACTTGTGTACAGTAGAAACTCAGTAATCAGGACTGTGATAATCCAGATTAACTTATGTACAGTAGACTGAATTTGATATACTGAAGGATTAGGTTTAATCTCACAGTATACTGATCAGATTCAATAATCTATGGACATTTTGTTGTGGTATCACTTTCATAAATATTTCCGAATAAGTCAACTCAAGTGGAAATAATTTACAAAAAAAAAAAAAAAAAAAATCAGTTTTGGTTTGTGACACTTTTTAATAACTGGAAGGTCTATGTGTGAGATAAATTGTCATGTGCATATTTAACATAAGTGTATTCTTACATCTATGTACCAAGCACCTGTTTCTTGTGAAAATATGTTTAACCCTGTGCTATTCCCCTTAGTTGAGTGTTTTGTTATTAAGTAATTTTTAATATACTTGTACATTTTGCCTATATCTACCATATCTACTATAGAAATACCGGTAACCAGGTTGTTGAATTTAACCTGATTATAAGTACTTCTTGGTTATCTTACAGTAATATCTTGTATTTTTTTAATCGATTTTTTTATTTTGCCAGGTATCCATCGAAAGTTTGATCTTAATGTGTCTAAAGTACGGTCACTACGGATGGACACATCAGTGTGGTCGCCAAGTCTCATTGAGGTCAGTTATTTTGATTTGTTTATTATCCAGCTAGATCATATACAGCTGATTTAAGAACCTAAAAAGTAACAAGAAACTAGTTTTATATACACACTTCCAAACATATAGTATACCATTCTATAAATATTCAGAGATCTCAAAATTTCATGCTTGATTGGTTTTCACACTAAAGTTTCCATAATAATGTAAACCTGTAAAATCTGTAAAACACGATGGAATAATCTGTTGTGGATGAATACACAATGTAGATAGTCATTTTGTAACCAGTTAAATATATCCTTTGCAGATGATGAAACAGATAGGTAATGATAATGCTAATATGTTCTGGGAAAAACATCTCCGGTCTAAGAGTGCCTTCAACCAGGATATGGAACCAGCACAGCGTAGGCAACATCTAGAGAAAAAGTATGAAGAAAGGAAATACATTGATAAACACCCACTCAGTGACAACAAACTCTCCCTTAGTGAGGTTAGTACTGGTCATTTTATTTTTTCTTAGGTCCATTTAATCAATCTCCAGGAGTTTTAGACAGAAATTCTAAAAGTTAGTCATATTTATTTACTGGTGTTAAAGTAAAAAAAAAAAAAAATCCTCAAAACCGATTTTGAAAATAAGCAGAAAAGAAAAAAAAATGGTATGTTGTAACTTTATATTAGCATAGCATTGTAACTCCAAGGCAAGGTAATTGAAATGATATCAACTGTTAAATCATGTGGAAAAGGGAAATAATTCCCTATTTTTATAAAACAAAGATATATGTTAGGACTGGTATGTTGACAGGAACTGTTAAAAGCTGCCTCCACTGCTGATATTCTCCTCACTATGATGCTGATATTCTCTGGTGCTGATGTAAGTAGAAAGTATTACCCAATAATTTTAAGCTTGTGATTTGTGATTTATTGCTGAAGAAAATCAGACTGCATGACATGGAAGTTTACATGGAAGGTGTGACTCCCTATTTATTTCATTAATCTGAGTCAACTTGTTTTGGAAATCAATTCAAACAAGTTTTCAAACTAACAAGAATTGAATAAATGTCAACTTTTTCTACTACAATTTATCTTAACATCATGAAGCAATCGACATCACTGTTTTTCTCCATTCATAAATTTCATATTGATTTGTACTTTTAATCTTTTGGCATTGATTGACATTAATCATTAGTGAGTTTGTTGAGTTAGGAAATTGTGGTAGATAGTACTAATGAAAGATTACCTGGTTGGTATTATTTCATAGTTAAATGAGTGAAGTTTTGTACTTTTAAAGTGTGAAGCATGTTAATACCAGAATGATTGACACGACAAGTGTTGATTTTTTGTTGAGTATTATTTCCTGTTCATTGTCATATTAACCTGATACTTGCTGTTTTGTACTGTAAAAATTATTTGTAGGAAATATTTAGAGATCAAAATAGCTTGAATACTGTATTCAAAGGTTTCAGACTTTTCAAAACAGAAAACTACTCAAGATTATAATCTTTATGTCAATAATTAAAGAAATCATAATTCTGGACTCAATATAATACCTTTCTCTTTAACAGTGTATTAAGTTAGAGTTTCCTTTGATCGTTTACCATAGTATATTACATATATATCAGAACTGGTTATCAGCACCAGTTTATAGTTATCTCCCTTGAAAAAACAAATCTATCCGAATTAGCTGGTTGTTTGTTACACGGTCATATTGACCATCGGTAAACTATGAAATTCTAAATTACCTCAGATATTTTGCAGCTCTCTGAACTCTTAGAGGATGAAGATGCATTTTCTTCTTTAAGATAGCAAGCTTCCCAAAACCAGTATTGTCTAGTAACTGTAAAGCATTCAGTTTTTTAAAAACTTGGAAATTCTTGTATAATTCAATAATAATACTACTCATACAATATACATTAAAAATTGTAGGTAGTTATACTGTTCATTTGAAGATGTTGTGATTGAAACATTTGAAAATGCAGTTTTATTACACATTTTATAATAAAGGAATGTTTGTATTGTCAGTGTTTTATTGTTTGTAGTATAAGTGTTGTGTTTACCTTTGCCTGCAGGTGAAGTTTATAAAACCCGGCACTGAAGAAGAAACAGGTAGATACTTTTGATTGAATTATTATAATCTTACAACCAAAAAGTCCTGAACACATGGACTGATTTCAGTGAAACTATGTTGGAATGTTAGAGACCATATGTAGATGGTAAATGTGCATGCAGGTTTTGTTTTGCAGTAATTTTTGTACCAGTACCAATGTTAACCTTGTCACTATACACAGATGTTTGTGTATCTGATTTCACACATCAGATGTATCCAGGCCTATTGCTATCCAAATTTAATGGAGTCTTCTGATTGGTCAATATTGAGATATTTTCTGGTTATGCAGAAAAAAATTGATATACATGTATAAGGATTTTTAAGGAAATGAAAAACATCTGATGTCATTTATTTGCCTTAGTGTCCAAATAAGACCTATAAATACAGGGATCTTGTCCAGACTTTTCCTAAACTTGGGAACCAGTTTCAGCAAAACTTTTGGGATATATAGAAATATTATTGGTCACATGTAGATATGCAGGCAGTATTTTCTTTTCTTTCTTTGGAACGATTTTATTCAAACTTTATTGAATTGTGTAGCTTATCAAAGCCAATGATTTGATACATCATATCATTCAAGAATTATTACTATGGAAATGGATATATGATGGTACTCTTTTCCAAAATGTTGGGTCTTCTTCTTTGCCATGGTAACTAAAAGAAGACCTATGATTGGACAAAATCCAAACTTCGTCTCCTAACCTTGTGAACATATGAATTGATTTTGATAAAACTTCAAATGAATACATGTATAGGGAATCATATGTAGATGCACATGTACATCATCATATGGATAATGGGAAAAGGATATGAAAATCCGTTGATCGTTATCATCTACACTTGACGGACTTGCCTCAATATACAGGACATTATTATGATTGAATACTGTTACCATGTTTGTAAGGAAGTTGAGTAGATCACATCATTACACTGACGTATTGTACCTCAGTAAATAGTTGAATTTTATTTCCTTTACTTCAGCAGTACTACTGTATACTTTCTGTTAGGGATATTTTTATGCATTAAGCATCTCCTGTGGAATTGATCCCGTCCAGTAGGTGCACCATTCTGTAGGCAAGTAACCACAACATTTTTTGAAGTACGGGACAGATGTATGTAGATTTAAAGATACTGTAACTGTGCAATGAATGATGACATGAAATCAGAATCGAACTTTGATATTAAATCACTGTTAATCATCCCGTAAAGAATGCAAATGCTTCTGAAATTAATGTTTGATTAATTGATTTAACATTTTCAAATTAAGTCTTCCATTAATTTGTGTTTATGATTATACAATTATTCTATTTGCTGGTCAAAGAATGCTAGTTAGCTCGTTTTAATTAACATCAGGGAGTGGCACCAAAACATAAAGATACTTTCAGCTCATTGTCAGGGACTAGGTGACAAAAATAAATGCTGTTGTGTTTTCTCATACTTAAGAAATAGAAATTTCCATATTTATTGTATTCAAGATACTTGCTATACAGCAGAAATGGAAAACTTAGTTAGACGTGAATGGAAATTTACTTGCCATTTCAGTTCATTTAGATGAATGAGGCTTTGCAATTTCAGTTAATTATCAAATAGGTTCCGTCTGACTGTCCCTTTGTCATTCCGTTCGTCCTTCTGACAGTCCTGTCTGTCCCTTCATCATTCCGTTCGTCCTTCTGTCAGTCCAGATGCTGTTTTCCGCAAGATATCTTTTGAAGGACTGGTCAGATTCTTATGAAACTTGATTGGTACACTTCTTACCTTAATCCTTGCCCAAGTTTGATGAACATCAAATTCTGTGCATATTTAATGTTGCTGCTGTGATCTGATTGGCTAATTTTTTAATCGCTCTCGGATGCTGCTTTCTGCATGATATCTTTTGAAGGACTGGTCAGATTTTGATAAAACTTGGTTGATACAATTTTTACCTTAATCTCTTGTTCAGATTTGATTATCAGCAAATTCTATGCATATTTTATGTGACCTGATTGGCTGATATCTTGTGGCACTCTAGCTGAATGCTTTCCACGCGTTATCTTTTGATGGAACAAATGAATTATGATGAGACTTGTGTGGTAGACTTGTTACTGTAACCCATTGTTCAAGTTTGATTATCGACAAATTCTGTGCATATTCAATGAGGCTGTTGTGATCTGATGAGCTGATATCTTTTCCAGTTTTCCATGCTGCTCACTTTAAATGTGTATATTACACAAATGAACATGGGCGGGGAATTTTGATGACTATGTCCTTGTAATGATTTTGAAGTGAAAGTCATTAAGGAAAAATGGAGGTGTTAAAGAGAACTTCATTGCTTTAAATTTATTAATAACTGGCAAAAAAGTAACATTAATGACAATTTATGGACTTAATATAGACAGACCAGAGTTTTATGATAGAATTTCACATCAAAAATAATTCCAAGGGTAGAGAAAGAAAACAGGAATTATTTCGAAACAAGAGGATATCATTGGAGTATGCAGAGGAAAATGAAATACCTGGTATTCTCATATTTATAGATTTTGGAAATGCTTTCAATTCTGTTGGTTGGGATTTTATCTGTTATGTTTTATCTTTTTTTTTTAATTTTTGGGGTTGATATATGCAAGTGGATCAAAACTTTACAGCCAGTGCACTCTCCTCTATAAATCAACGTGGTAATCTCTCAACTGTTTTCCCAATTAAGAGAGGCAATCCTCAAGGAAACCCTATTGCTCCTTACATTTTCATACTATGTGTTGAAATACTTGCTACTAGAATAAGAATAAATAATATATTAATGGTATAAATATAGATCATGATCCAATTTCATTATCACAATATGCAGATGATACCTCAATTATCATAGACAATAAAAAATATCTTTACAGGAATCATTCCATGAATTAAATAACTTTACAAAATGTTCTAGTCTAAAAGGAAATGAAGGCAAAACACAAAACAAGGTAGTGAAAAATATAGTAATGACATATGTTTTGCAGAGTGGAATTCACATTGGGGTTTTATTAAATTTGAAGTATTAGGTGTTGTGTTTGATGTGGACCCACACCAAATTTCCAGACTTAAGTATGATAAAAAAAATTGTAAAGTTTAAATCATTAATTAAGATTTTGACCAGAAGGATTCTTATACCTCTTGGAAGAATATATATCAATAAGTCCTTTTTCAAAACTCATTTCAACCATCTTTTCATATCCTTGCCAAATTCAGATGACTCTTTCCTTAAAAAAAAACTAAATACAGAAAAATATTGTGTAATCATGTGATTTTTTGCACTGCTGTAAACATTTAAAAAATAAGAGAGAAAAAATGAAAGTTTTTGGTGAAAAAGGTGAAAAATCGCCAACTACAAACACTTAAGAGCTCAACATGAATATTTGAAATATTTCCTTTTTATTGGAATTAATGTGAGTATGGTTTTCTTGGCACATTTTGTGTCAGCTTGCACACCACACACTTCTCTGTTCATTTAATGAATTGATTCAAATTGAATTTATATATTAATTTTCAAGTTTTAATTAAACATATAAAAAAGTTACAGGTAACATATAGACCAGTCACAGGTAACATAAAGTACAGTTACAGGTAACATATATAGTTACAGGTAACATATAGACCAGTCTCAGGTAACATAAAGTACAGTTACAGGTAACATAAAGTACAGTTACAGGTAACATATAGACCAGTCACAGGTAACATAAAGTACAGTTACAGGTAACATATAGACCAGTCAAAGGTAACATAAAGTACAGTTACAGGTAACATATAGAACAGTTACAGGTAACATATAGAACAGTTACAGGTAACATACAGACCAGTCAAAGGTAACATAAAGTACAGTTACAGGTAACATATTATATAGTTGCAGGTAACATAGAACAGTCACAGGTAACATATAGAACAGTAACAAGTAACATATAGAACAGTTACAGGTAACATATAGACCAGTCACAGGTAACATAAAGTACAGTCACAGGTAACATATAGACCAGTCACAGGTAACATAAAGTACAGTTACAGATAACATATAGAACAGTAACAAGTAACATATAGAACAGTTACAGGTAACATATAGAACAGTTACAGGTAATATATAGAACAGTTACAGGTAATATATAAAAAAAGTTACAGGTAATATATAGAACAGTTACAGGTAATATATAGAACAGTTACAGGTAATATATAAAAAAAGTTACAGGTAGCATATAGTACAGTTGCAGGTTACATATAGAGCAGTTACAAGTAACAGATAGAACAGTTACAGGTAATATATAGAACAGTTACAGGTAATATATAGAACAGTTACAGGTAACATATAGAACTGTTACAGGTAATATATAGAACAGTTACAGGTAACATATAGACCAGTCTCAGGTAACATAAAGTACAGTTACAGGTAACATAAAGTACAGTTACAGGTAACATATAGACCAGTCACAGGTAACATAAAGTACAGTTACAGGTAACATAAAGTACAGTTACAGGTAACATAAAGTACAGTTACAGGTAACATATAGAACAGTTACAGGTAACATATAGAACAGTTACAGGTAACATACAGACCAGTCAAAGGTAACATAAAGTACAGTTACAGGTAACATATTATATAGTTGCAGGTAACATAGAACAGTCACAGGTAACATATAGAACAGTAACAAGTAACATATAGAACAGTTACAGGTAACATATAGACCAGTCACAGGTAACATAAAGTACAGTCACAGGTAACATATAGACCAGTCACAGGTAACATAAAGTACAGTTACAGATAACATATAGAACAGTAACAAGTAACATATAGAACAGTTACAGGTAACATATAGAACAGTTACAGGTAATATATAGAACAGTTACAGGTAATATATAAAAAAAGTTACAGGTAATATATAGAACAGTTACAGGTAATATATAGAACAGTTACAGGTAATATATAAAAAAAGTTACAGGTAGCATATAGTACAGTTGCAGGTTACATATAGAGCAGTTACAAGTAACAGATAGAACA